AAAATAGTGTTTTGAAAATGCTTATTGAATAAATGTGCTTAGTAGGTGCACACAATGCCATTTATTGTATTTAGGGCACATGTGTCAAACACAAGGCCCGCGGGCCAAATCCGTCCCACCAGGCCTTGCAATGGGGCCCGCACCGCGCTGTCATCACTGCACTCCGCTGCGTTTCCATCACAATGACAGTTTATGACTGTTCAGTAAACCATTCGGCCCGCGATTTAGGCTGGATTTTAGATTTTGGCCCCTTCTCTGATTGAGTTCGACACCCCTAATTTAGGGGATCCATAGAGAATGAAAATCATCTTTTTCTTCAAGGAAAACGGCTGGTGTGTGTGTGTGTGTGTGTGTGTGTGTGTGTGTGTGTGTTTGTGTGTGTGTAGAAAGATAATATATCTATACCTATCTACGTATAAAATCTCAATTTTCATTCCTGAAACTTGCTTGGCTTAATGTAAACTACATTATTATTTATATGTACATATTTGGATTTTAAAAAATCCACTAAAGCTGTATGTCTTTTAATAGGAATAAAGGAGGTTTCTAATTTTTATTTAAATGATGTTTGAAAACTTTTGCTCATCTCTGTGATGCCATTGCAAGGGCAGAACTTAATTCTGTTCATAATATTGTTTTGTTTTGTTTTTTTTTTCTTTAGTCTGTGGGACTCGAACTGTTCTTTGATCTTAATCACCAGTTTTTCTTTTTCTCCCCCTCCCCCCAATCAATGTGCATCTCTGAAAGTGTGTCTGTATCCTCTATCCAGTGCTAATTGGGTGGAAGGTACAGAAATTAGGCCCTCAGGGCTCTGCCCTGAAGAGTTTGCAGCTGGATGAGAGGCAGCTGTGTGCTGAGTTGAATGATAAAGTGCATCTTTCTGTTGATGATTTTCTAAGCAAGGAGGCAGAGTTACATGGTTTTAATAGTTCAAAATAGACTTAGCCCCACCATGCCCTAACTTTGGAGAAAATGTTTGGGTAGGAAGGAAGAGGCTACAGGACCATTGAGAACTGGATGTGGTTCCCTTAATGGCAAGATCAGCCTGAGATTGGAGTAAGTGGAATTGCACACAGGAGGGAAAGCTTGGGAAGCTGGAGATTGAAAGTCCAGGGCCCAGTGGTTTATCCAATGTTGCGAGAAGAGTTTATGCTATTTATCCTCAGTGCTGTTTATACTGTTTACTTCAAAGGAGAGTAGATTAGAAAAGAAGCAAATATCAGGGTCTGAACTTGGCCTGGCTGTGAAATGTGTTCAGAACTACCAGTCTGGTTACTGTTTTACAGAGGTAGGTGGATGTGTGACTATTTTCCAGCTCACGTTAGAGTAGTGATGCAGAGAATACAGAGGTATATCTGGAAAAAAACTAGTCATGCAGCAGAAATTGTAGACTGAACAAATAAAATGTCAGTATAAATGAGATTATATATTTGGAAGTTCTTATTTACTCTTGAATATTTTCTACCTTGCTTTCTAGCCCAGGTTTACCCATATTTTGTGGGTACCAATTCTACTACTGCTGTATTCAGGGTCAAATCACAATAATTGAATGTACTTTAATCTTGATATTTAAATGTTAGGAAATTAAGGAGATTTATTGTTACAGTTAATTTGTAATATATAAATTCCTTAAACCTGTTGATGATTTTTCAAGCATCTTAAATATATGATGATGATGAAATAAAATATGTGGATTTTAAAAATATTTAATTATATAATTTAAAATGTGATGTAGCTATAATAATGAAAAGATAATATGCAAATCAACCAAACAACTGAATAGCAGACCAACCATCCAGACAACTTTTTGGATGACCATGTTATGACACACATGGCGCCAGACCAGCCAAGGCAGGTGTGATATGATTGGTCAGAGGGCCTCATCATTGCCCCACTATTGCCCCAAAGAAGGAGGCCCAGACCATTGATTGGCTGGTGGGGCAATTGATGGGGGTGGGGGGCTCTGCTATTGCCCCAAAGAGGGAGGTCCAAGCCACCCACCTGGCAGTACTATGGTGGGTGGGTGGGGCCTCCATCTGCAGGGCAATCGATCTGGGGGCCCTGCAATGAATTGCCCCACAGAGGAAAGCCCAGATCTCCAGCAAGGGACTCTGTGGTAAGTGTGTGGAGCCGACCAGCGATCCCCCGCAGAGGGAGACCCAGGCCAGCCAAGCAATCACACCCATGACTGTTGCCTGCAGAAAGAGGCAACTGGTGGCTGAGGAGGGGAGACAGCACCACACAATTGCAAGCAGTGGCAGTAGCGGGGACGGGGCCAACTGCTGGCAGCAAGGGAAGGAAAGCTCCAATAGGCCCTGATGACCAGCCAGGCCTAAGGACTCTACCTGAGAGGTCCCGGATTGCAAGAAGGCACAGGCCAGGCTGAAGGACACCTTCCCCCATGCACAAATTTTGTGCACCGGGCCTCTAGTATAAATATAAAACATTACAAAAAGCATAGTAAATGTAGAAACCCAGGAACCTATTGCCTAAATTTAATAGATGTTACTATTTTAACTTATTTGCTTCAACCTTCTCTCCTCATTTATAAAGCAGTAGAATACTATATCTAGCTAAGGCACCCCTATCCCTTTGCTTTTCTCTAGAGGTAACCACTATTCTAAATTCAGTTTATGTCAGTGCCATATATTTAAAAATTTGTATTTTTACTTCAGGTGTGTGTATCCATAAATAATATTTTTATGACATTATCATTTTTTAAAATTTATTTTTATTCAAAGTATTACATATATCCCCCTTTTCTTCTTCCTTGGACCCCCTCCTGCCTGTCTCCTTCCCCTCCCCACAAGCCTACTGCACAACATTGTTTTTAATGTTGTGCTGACTAAAATAAATATAAGTTATTGTAGTTCTTCACATGGTTATTCCATGGAAACTGCAGAAATTTTATAATTTTAATTTTAGTCAACACATTAAAAACATATAAAAGACATTTTTTTCTGATGCAACTTTCTACACTAAAAATAAATTGAAGCGACTTTTAAACTATTTGAGTGTAATCATCAGTGATGTATATTTTACATTGTGGCATAATACATTTCATATAAATGTGTGTATGCAACTAAAAATGTTTCTTCAAACCGTAGTTTCCTGTCGATGTGTGATATCCTCTATTTTCCAGCCTATTGATTTCTAAATGCTTGTCCCAGACTTAGTAAACTGATTTTCTGACCTAATAATAAGTTTCTGTCCTATATGAAAAATAATAAGGTTATTCTAAAGTTAATATAATCTTAGTTAATCTGAAATTAATATTGAGTATAGTATACAAACATAAACCTTTGTTGTGTAATAAAAGTGTTTCAAATAGTAAGGCCATATATTAAAATATGATTCTTTTGCACAAGATGTAACTTTAGCTAATTCATTCTGAATATTTGTTTTCTATGAATCAAACCCATACATATTCTAGCCATTTAACTAATGAGTATTAATTAGCTAAATGTTTTAGAGAATTCATGTTGGTCAGTGTAAAATAACTTCTTTCAGTCTACTCCCACCATGGTTTCCCTGGAGTCCAGGAGGGTGTCATGTGTCAAGGAAGGAAAGAATGCTGGTTGGCTCAGAAAAGGACTCCCAGTCCTATTACTAACACACTTTATAGCATTAATAAGCTCTTTCTTCTTTCTAGCCCTCATCTTTCTCACCTACTAAATGGGAGGGTTAACCAGCTTATCTTGTAAGCACTTTCATCCTATGAAGTATCGGATAACACATCTGGGCCTCAGGTTGGAATTTGCTGAGAAAATATATAATCAAGACTTCCTATTGGAATTACTGGTTTTGCAGTTGCATTTGAGCAAGGGATAAGCTAAGGTACTATTAATTTAATATGGTTTTGGAGCAAAAATGATTCCTCCATCATAAAACCATTTCAGACTAACCTTGACGTCTCTAAGCTCTGTCTACTTTTTTCTTACAATAAGGGCCAGGGCTCTGTGAATGTACACATATATAGTGTTAAGCATGACAAAGGAATGTTTCTTCATTTCAGTTAAATGTACTTATAGGCAAATCCAAAGTTGTAGAAAGACATCTATAACCTCTGGTAAGCCCTAGGGGACATTTCTGTAAGTCCTACACATTACAGTGGTCTGAGGCTTTGAGCAATTTTCTTTTTTAATGTCAGTTATACATTGGAATAGAGTAAGGACATATCACCTAAACTACACATCCTAAAATAAAAAACACAAAAACAGAACATTACTTTCATGAGTCCTGCCTGTATGTTTGCTTTAAGAAGCAGGAGTCCAAATTGTAATTTGGGGGGACCTTGGAGACTATTCCTTCTCATTTGCTTCTAAGAAAATAGGTCAGCAAATGGTTTGCCTGGATCTCCAGGTGGAGGCAAAGTTAGGGGCAGGATTCTGGTATACTCTGAGGTTTCCATTTTCTTTTGGTTTGCAGATTCTTTTTAGACAACTACCTTTAGAGAGATCTAGACAAGTTCTAACCAGTGTCTAAGGGTGTGGACTATTAAAGAATGTGATTATCCTTAAAGTAGAGATCTGCTCCTACTAGAGTGACTGATGAAGACAGGTTTTTCCTAAATGACACCAGGATAGATATAAGTCTATGGGAGAGGATCCTGTGGACCCCAGGTGGCTGAAGCATTGGCCAGGTTTATTTAACTCCTCTGACCACTTGACAACTAGTTTTCTGTCAGCTGCAATATGCAAAACATTCTTATCTATTGGAATTTCCTGACATCGGGGTTCTGACTCTATGGTTAATATCTTTAGGCCAGGGACCACAGATAACCATTATTTTGTGATATCCTATGCTTGTCACTGAGCAGGTACTTATGTGTGTTTTTTTGTGTGTGAAAGAAGACTATGCTATCTACTCACTATTTTGTGCAGTGCAAGTTATAAAGTTGATCATCTTAAGAGAATTGACTTTTGAAGTAAAGAAAATGCTTTTCTTTTTAGTACTACTAATGAGCCTTCCTATCTGCTTTTCTCTCTCATCCTCTGCAGTGTGTCGAGATTTCGCTGTCCTGGAGGACCACACCCTGGCCCACAGTCTGCAGGAACAGGAGAGTGAGTAATAGCCCTCAACCCTGCTCCTTCAGTTTTCTTTTGTGTAGTGGTAGCTTGAGGCAGGTGTCTTTGAGTGAGTCAGGGAGAGAACACCGTCACCAGACTGTACCATCCATCCCTCCGAGCAATTTGTCTGGGCCCAGGACACCCGGGTGACGCATGACATTCTGGGTGTTTTGAAGTATGACAGCTTCCAGGTGTTAGATGACTGTGGGTACATTGGAGGAAAAGAGGAGCTCGAAACCTTAGTGTGTTGTAGGAGGGAGACTGGTTGTATATGTGTCAACGTGAGAAACGTCCAGACCTGTAGAGAAGTTTTATGAGTTTATGTGAGCCAAACTGAGGACAATTGCCCAGAAGCAAAATCTCAACAGACTGGAAAAAAAAAATACTCCACAGAATGGCAGTTTTGCAGTTTATTTTATACATTATAGTCAAAGGAGGAAACATAGGGAGGGTTACATGAAATCCATTGATGATAGTTTAGGGAGGCAGTAGAAATCAAATCAAGGAAATCTCTGAGATTAGATAAAGAGTAAAATGGAGACACACAGACTTCTTTTATATTGCTGGGTACAAGATAGTTATTAATTAACTTTGCAGCACATAGAGATGGTATGCAGGGGAACAAGATAACAAAGGGGTTTTTGTGGTCTCCTTGACTGGTAAAGGGGGATTACTCTGACATTTCAAAGGTATGTTATCTTAGATGCAAAAAGTCCGTAGACAGGCTTAGTTAAGGTAAAGACTGATCTTTGTCAAGGAAGGTACTGCTCTAAGACATGACTATCAGTGATGACTCACTTGAATTCAGTTGCAGCCCATCCTTTGTGGTTACTTCCGTCATGCAGGCCCTCCCTGAACTTGTCAGGTGTAGTGTGTGGCCCCTTTTTTGTCCGCACTGTATTTGGGGTGTGTAGATATCTGGTATAGGGAGCTATTTCTTACCCTAAGAATAGGGGCAAAGGTCTTTTTTCAAGCAATGAAGGTATCTAGACTGTGGATTTTTCTGAATATTTAAGTATATAATTATGAAAAATAAATTGAAGCTGTATGTGTTGTACAAAAGTACATATTTATGAATATGTAATTTGTGAATCATTAATTGGTGAAGCAATAGAAAAGTAAGTATTGAAAAATGTAGTTTATAACTAGAGTGATAGCTTGTGGAGCAGAGGGGGCACTGGCCCTGGCTTTCGAATATTTGTGTAGAAATCCTGGCACTGCCACTGTTTTGCCATGTGACCAAAGGGAAGTGACTTAACCTTTCTGACCCTCTTTATACTTAATGGAAAGATGGGGCTAATAATTTCTGTGCTGCCTATTAACCGGCGTTATTGAGAGCATACAATAAAATGACGGGTATGAAACTCTTTAATGGAAAAGCTTTTTTAAGTTTATTAAGAAGTTTATTATTAACAAGCCAAAGCATTGTAATTCCTCTCCTCCATCTTTCTGTCCAGTTGAGCATCATTTGGCATCAAACATTCAGCGAAACCGTTTGGTCCAGCATGATCTCCGGGTGGCTAAGAAACTGCAAGAGGAGGATCTGAAAGCTCAGGCTCAGCTTCAGAAGCGCTACAAAGACCTGTGAGGATTCTGGGGAGTGGAGGGAATCACGCCAGGACTGGTTTACTGGTTTCTTCTGTGGAGCCAGCAACCAGGACAGGGGAGGTGGAGACTCTCCTTCTGTTCTTCTCATTCCTGACATTGTTAGATTAAAAAAATGGTGTGTGTGTGTGTGTGTGTGTGTGTGTGTGTCTATCTCTTTCTGTTTCTTTGATTTGAAAATTTGGTGTTGGGATGTGTGCATTCTGGTGTGAACTCTTAGCATTTTAACTTGTATGACTTTGAGAAGTGTGGTCCATCTATTTTCCTTCCGTACAAGAAGGAAAAAGATGATCTCTGCCTCATAGTTTAGTTGTCTGGGGAATCCATTGAAACATTGTACATGATAGAACTTCATGACTTGTTTTGGGTTCCTTTACTGTGTCCTATCAGGGTTTGCTGCTCTTCTTTTCCTCAAACCTCTTACTTCTCAGATACTGGCAGAATCTTCTGGAAAGCCCTGAATTGCACACTCAGTTCTTTCCATAGCTTCCGTGTCTGACAAACATTCTTTTTTCAATCTCCTCTTTTACAGTTAGATATGAAAAGATCATATTTAAGTTTTCTTATGGAACAATTACTTTTCATTTTCAATGCCCTAAAACTCCCAGGGTACATTTCTTCTTTGATAGTAGCTCCTTATATCTAATTCTCTAAGGGTGGATTTAACATTAGCTATTGTTTTGAGGAAGAAGGGGTAAAGGGACAATCAAAGGTACCTCTCAGGTTTTTTTAGTTGTCATGTGCATATAAACAAGAGAGCCTATTATTTTTGCTGCCTTTGAGGAAGGGTTTGTCTTTTTATTTTATTATTGGTGGAGAGGACTTCATTCATCATTTTTTGTTCAGCTTCCATCTTTTGTAAATAAACATTCTTACTGACTCTTGCTATCCCTGACACCATGAAAGGCACTGGACACCACAGATGTGAAGAAACATAATCACTGCCTTTAATGGCCTTAGGAACACATTATGAACACTATATGTACAGGTACATGCATGAAGCACATATAATTGAATAGTCAACTTCATGTTTATGAAGAGAGAATAGATTGAGAAATTTATTAGGCAGCTTCTGAGCACAGGAGCAAGACTTACTCATTTTTGTATCCTGTGTTGAGCATAGAATCTGCATATAGAAGATGGTATATTTAAATATTTATTAAATGCCCACATGCCAAAACAAACAAAACTATGGTAACAGCAGTTTTCTCAGTGGTCAGTATTAAATAAGCTAGAGTCAGCCAGAGAGGTTTCTACTGGGAACTGTAGCTGAGGAATATACATGTTTTCCTTTTTTAAAAACATTATCAAAACTGAAAAAATATATATATATAATAAAAAATTTATAAACACCAAAGTCATACTAACTCCTCTAGGTGATCACAGTATTGTTGACATCGAGTGATCTCACTCCCCGTGTTTTTCTGTGTACTCTATGTATTCGTGGAGATTAATCTTACAGTGTACATCTCCTTTGCAGAAAACATGCCTGTCTCCCTGTAGGTGGTCCCAGTGGAGTGAGATGATATGGTCGTATAGAAAAAGCATGGGACTTTCCATTGTAGTGTCAGCATCAAATTTTCACTTAGTTTCTCTGTGCCCTTAGGGAGGTAATTTCATTACTCTGGCCTCAAGCTCTTCATCTGTGAGTGGTGACAACAGCAAGCTCTGCCACACTGTTGTGAGGATTGAGATTAAAATGTGCACTGGCTCATAGTGAGTAGTCAGTACATTGTTTCCTCTTTCCTTTACTCATGTTGTTTTGTCTTTTGTTTTGTAGTGAACAACAGGACTGTGAAATTGCTCAGGAAATCCAGGAAAAGCTGGCTATTGAGGCAGAGAGACGGCGCATTCAGGAGAAGAAGGATGAGGTTGGTTAATGCCCCTACACCCGGTGGAGGAAGGACTGCTCAGCTCTGGACCAGTTCCTTTCTGTGTTTCTTGGCTAAGTGTATGGCTGCTGCATGGGCAACAGAACTCTCCTCTTTTGAGTGCATAGTCCAAGCATTGCCCTCCATAGACCATTATTTATTGCCCACCAATCAGTTGCATGTGGTGAAATCTGAAAACATGATAAATTAGTATCCTAGGGTTGCTATATAATAAATTACCACAGACTTGGTGACTTAAAACAAGAGAAATTTATTCTCTCGCAGTTTTGGAGGCTAGAAGTTGAAATTAGGGTGTTGGCAGGGCTATGCTGGCTGTTGGGAAAAATCTTTCTTTGGCATATTCTAGCTTCTGTGGCTCCTGACAGTCTTTGCCATTCCTTGGCTTGTCGCTGCATCACTTCAGTCTCTCCCTCCATTGTCGTGTGGCTTTCTTCCCTGTATTTTTGTGTCCTCCTGTTTTCTTATAAGGACATCGTCTTTAGATTGAGGACCTACCCCAATCTAATGTGACTCCTCATAACTAATTATACCTGGAAAGACCTTATTTGTAAATAAGGTCATATTATGAGGTCCTTGTTGGAAATGAACTTTTAGGGGACTCGATTCAAACCCAATACAGGATGTCTGTCTATAGAGTATTCCCCCAACTTTAATGTGAGCAGAACTTAAGTATGGCCTGAGCAGGGGTCAGGAGCAGTCATTGTTCTCTATTTTTTGTTAATTGTTTCACTTGCCTATGATTTGCTGTCTCAAAGCACTGATCTGCTTGATTCTGTATATATTTTTAAATTGTATTGTTTTTAAAGTAAAAAATGACTAAAATTAGCAATAGTATTTGTTTTTAAGATTTGAATATGCAACTATTACCTGCATTTGTGTTATGTTTTCTGTATTAGTTTCTTTTCACTTTGAATTGATTGTCTTCCTTCTTTCATACCTATTCTGCTATTCTCATCCACTATCTTGATTCATAGTAAGGAAGAAAATGATTTATAATTTTGAATAATATAATGGTCATATGATTTATTATATAATTATAAATACTTTGTAGGCTTAAAAGGGGGCACTATTAATAATTTACATAAACTGGGATTGTCCTTAGCTAACTGGAACATATGATTGTCCTATTAAATAGATATGGACAGGGTCACCAGTATACTGGTCTGTACACACTGCTACTCTCACTGAGCCATCCTGGTTCCCACAGAACTGTTTGTTCATTGACAAACGAGTATGAGACATTCACTGTATGAGTGTATTTAGCTGTGTCTTTAAGAAATAAACCACATTTCTGTGGTTATCTGAACTGGAAGTAGGAATTAGGCATTGCCTCCTGTCCTTCCTGTTATCAGCACAAGAGCTCTTTCTTCCAGCAAAGTGTGTTGCTTCTCTATAGTCAAGACTTTGCTTTGGGAATGAAACTGGGAACTGAAAGAAGTGATTATATTTTGTAGACAGGGAAGCTTCTTTTTAAAAATAACAGAGTAATGGTTGGCTTCTGATAAATGCTACTGGTGTCCTGTGATTTTTCTCCTCACCCCTGCCTCATTCAGGGACAAATGATTATAAGGAGAAACCAAAACACTTTCTTTTAGGCATGTAGAATCTACGTAGCAATCTCAATAAATAACCCCATGATAATACTATATAAAGTAAGCAGTGTAGTGACAAAGTCCATTTTTCACATATAGAAGTTGAAGAAGAAAGTGACTGGCCCCATGCTATAATAAGGTGCCAGGGAAATGGTTGTACATACAATACAGATTTGACTGACAGCTTCTGATTTAGCTATTTTGTGACATAACATAAATCATGTAGATTTTGAAGTTAACTGCTCTGGGTTTGAATCTTAGCTGTTTAACTTTTAGTCTTGCATTTAAATATCTTTCTTAAACATGTAGAAACTCAGGTTCTATATTGGAGAAGTCATGATAGTTATGCATAATTTAAAGAGCTGTTATGAGGTTTAAATGAAATCGTGTACAAAAGATACATACTAACTTAGTAATTGCTCTTTTTGCTTTCTTGTAAGGTGTTTTTCTCACCATCCTACTCTTTGTAACAACTCAGATTTCTCTTGTAGGGATATGTGATAAATCAGTGGAGGTATGTGATAAGTGGGAGAGTGGTACACATATATAAGTTTAGTGTATTCCAAAATGCTGAGGTTTGAGGGATCTTCAGGAGTTTTGTTGCCCCTAAAGTAAGGCAAAGTAATGAGAGGCCTAAGGAAAAGTGACCAGACGTCCCGCTTTTAACAATTTTTCCCCTGTCCCTTGGCGTTTTAAAAAAGTCCCGTTAGGGATGTTTGGTCACTTTACCTTAGGCCTGTCACTACTTTGCCTTCCCCACTATTTGACCTACTGAAGTGTGTCTCCTGCCCCTGGACAGTGAAGAGGTTAAATGAGAAACCCAGTTGTGGAGACTTAGCGAGGCTAGCCTTTAAAAACCCCATTCAGACTTTTTGAGTTTTCAACTGGTGCCTTAGATTAGAAGGGCGTTACTGTGCAAAGATATTCTTTTATGGTAGAAAATTATGACTCTCGCTGAAACCGGTTTGGCTCAGTGGATAGAGCATAAGCCTGTGGACTGAAAGGTTCCAGGTTCAATTCCGATCAAGGACATGTATACCTTGGTTATGGGCACATCCCCAATAGGGGGTGTGCAGGAGGCAGCTAATTGATATTTCTCTCTCATTGATGTTTCTAGCTCTCTATTCCTCTTCCTTTCTCTCTGTAAAAAATCAGTAAAATTATTATAAAAAATAAAAATATGACTCTCAGCTTACAGATATGTTGTTAATATTAAATGAACAAAATTTGCATTAGTAAAGTTTGTCTTGAAAGATGTATGATAACGCTAATTCATTTATTTTCATCCAAGCTGGCTCACACAGCAGACTGAGACAATAGCGCTCATTTTCCTGCCAAATATTCCAAAAGCCTTGCCTGTTAGTCATGAACTGTCTTAATTCGTCTCTCTCTCTCTGTCTCCCCCCGACTTTCTTTACTTCCATGTAGAGTCTGCTTAGCTAATGAGTTTTTATTCAACAGCAGGGATGTGGAAAATTCCTCTCTGGATTTTCACCCAAATCTCTTTTAGAAGTTTTTGGGGTCAACTTTCTTGGGTACTTTATAATCCTCTAAAACAACCAGATGTGGAATTCAAAGTCCCTTTTCTCTTGATACAGATTTCCCCTCCCCTGAACAACATTGTGTAGGAGAATTAAGAGTTATACAACTTTGTGGGTGAATCAGCATGTCTAGCTTTGTTCCAGTATAATTTTATTATGATTTTAACAGAGCACAGATGAAGGGAAGTAGCATTTCCTTTCAGAGAGACAGCTGTTGAAAAGTTTAAAAAAAATAAAAGGGAAGGAAAAAGATCTTTTATATTTTTATCAGCATTGTGGCCTCTCCTCTCTTTCCTTCCCTCTCCCTTTCCCCTCTTTTCTCTTTACTCCTCCCTCTCTCCCTACTTTCATTCTTTCTTCCTTTCTTAAAAACTGTTAACAGTATCTTAACTCTAGTATCATCATGTGTTTCTAGGTGCCGTGTTGAAAGAGCTTCTAGCCTTTGGGAATACCATACTGTATGAGTTTGTGATTAGTACAAGTGGACTAATTTCACTGGGATCCCTCTCTTGATCACAATATAAGCATTTGTCAGTGACCTTTAATAAAACTAAGGAATGTGTATTTAGTTCATTTAACTTAGTTATTCTTAAGTAAAACTCTAAGAAAGAAAGTATGTGTGTATCTATCTGTGTGTGTATGTGTGAGATGAGAAAGAGGGTGAGAGAAAAATAGAGAGAGAAGAGAGAGAGAGAGAGAGAGAGAGAGAGAGACTATCTATAGAAATACATATGTGTGTCTTTGAACTTAGGTTTGTAGTTAGACAGACATGAGCAGAACAAGGATGATGGGCCAGGTATAGACGGTCACCAGGATGGAAAGCCCCTGGTGCCTAGCAATGAGCCAAACTGGGAAAACAAAGACCTCACCCCTTAGGCAGGGTAACCTTTCCTCCCCTAGTATATCGCTGGTCATCTGGTTTAGACCCACTGATCTTTCATATTGCTGGTTATTCAGTCTGGAACCCCCTGACCTTTCCTTCCCTGGCATGTTACTAGTTATGAGAGTTAGACCCCTCAGAGGAGAAATAAGAGGGTGGGAAAATAGCCTTTAATCATTAAGCTCCCAAGACCGTGAGGTTCTGATCCACATCAAGTACATGTAGACCTCAGTTGTGTATCAGATCGAGTCCAAGAAAAGCAGTAAAACCAGAAAGCGACCCTACAGGCTGACCTCAGGACCAGCTGCGTTGGATAACAATACCCTGTCTTGGTGCCAACCAATGAGTGGAGACCATGACCCTGAAAGGACACACCTAGAAAGCTGATGAATATTCTGTTGGGATTCTCCCCTGAGGCCTCTCAAAAAAACTCTGCCCTTAAAAGGCTCTTAGGACAGAGCACCCAGATCACTATCCCCCACCAGGAGCATACCCTAGTCTTTCTCCTCCCTTTACCTCTTTCTCTTACCCCAGGCGTGTTACCTTTGTCCTTCTCATTCCTAAATCCTAAGTGCCATTCTTTTGCCTCTGTAACTGGTTTCCTAAGAGACCATTGCTTGTACCACTCACTTCTACCTCTGTGACTTTCCAGATAAACTTTCTCCTATTGAGTCTTGGCTCTGAATTCTTTCCTAGCCAGAGCTCAAATACCACAGATGCTGAACCCAGGTCTGGTCTTACCCAACCAGTCTAACACCTGTTGCCATTCTCACAACCAACAATTCCAAATATATGTGGCTATTAGAGAAAAACTTCTCTTTTTTTCTTAAGTAAACAACATAGCCACCATGTTATGAAATGTCTGCCACTAGTCCAGCAATTTAAAATCACTTATAATATTGACTGCTCAGGAATAAACTAAGTAACCAATTTACATTAAAAATTGTGAACCATGCTACTGTTTTC